ATTAGTTATCCCCATCACCTGTCTGCTCCTCGTTATCTGCCCTATTTAGTTCTAGTCCATTCAGTTCTCCCTTGTCTGGAATTGTATGTTGATGTTTTCTCCTCGTGCTATGTGTGATTCCCTGTGACAAGAATAAATCCCTTTGTTTAGTACTCCTGGTCTCCTCGTTCCGCGCTCCTCACACTACCACCGACCGTGACAGAATTCCAGACCTTCCCGAGGACAGCCGTTACCTTGTTAAAGACATTCAGAAATCCTTTTCCTCTCAGTTTTTTTCTATAACAGTGACGTATATTTATAGTGGCACTTTAGCCATTAGATACAGAAGCATAGCACCATTTAGAAAGATAGCAATCTCTGCAGGACAATGACTCATGAGAAAATGGGACCAAGTGAGAAACAGATGCTTTTTGCCTGAAAGGGTGGTGAATGTATCATTGCTGCAAGTTAAACACTATTTACAGGTTTTATCAAGGGGAGATCTGTATTATCTGATTAATGCAGTCACAGCATTGTAAATATATATGTATATAGTTTTATCCAGTATTTCATCTTTCCTAAATTTTCTTTATTGCTGAGTGATAAAGCGGGTAGTAGTCTTTTGTCACGCGAGAATAACATAATCAAAGGTAGCCAATAGCGACATAATTTTTTAGAACAAAATTACCATCCAACCACAATCCCCTATTGACTAACTTGCAGTTAGTTGTACTATAGATGCTGTACTAGTTATACTAGCTATATGAAAAAACATAAATGGGGCCACGTAGGTCAATGTGCCCCCTCACCTCTGGTAAGCACACCACCCCGCCCCCCGAACGTGATTTCAGCCAAGGCTCCCTCTAGAAATGCAAATGAACCACCCCCCCCTCCCAGTTTGTATGGGCTGGCACCCATTCTGAAGAATATATACAATAATATAATCATTTATTAATATTTAATTGGTTCTCCCTTGTTTTTGATCCAAGCACAACTATGCAATATGCTTACAAAATCCTTCATAATAAAATGCTTGAATAAAGTGCAAAGATGTCTATTTTCCTTGGTCGGGCATCAAATTTTGCCACTACTCTAGCTAAGGTTAGCTGTCTTATTTCACTCTGTCACCCTATTGTCACGTGTATGTTGATGTCTTCTCCTCGTGCTATGTGTGATTCCCTGTGACAAGAGTAAATCCCTTTGTTTTGTACTCCTGGTCTCCTCGTTCCGCGCTCATCACACTACCACTGACCGTGACAGTAGCACTTTAACGTTAATGTTGAATTGAGACTATAGTTAGCACATAATTTAGAATTAAAATGGTTTAATAACCGTATTCCACCAAGAAAATGGCCCCAGACAAGAAAAGAGACAAAGCAAGAGTTACAGTCTTCGGTTACACTTTTTTTTAAGGTGTCCTTGTTACAGTGTAATTATAAATTTAAGTACGGAGTAATATTAATTAACTACATGCACATACTATATGGTTAGGATTAGGGTTGGGCTTAGGGTTACTTGCATGTAATTATGCATAATTAATTGTCATTATAATAGCAAGTATGTGTAACAAGAACACCTTAAAATAGAGTGTTACCCAATCTTCTTTTATCCCTTCCTTGACCATGTGACTAAATACCAAATGTGAGACATTCAAACGGACCAATCAGCAAATTACAGCTTTGCCCACCGTGCAAAAGGTGTGATAATGAGACTACAGTTAGCACATAATTTAGAATTAAAATGGTTTAATAACCGTATTCCACCAAGAAAAGGGCCCCAGCCAAGAAAAGAGACAAAGCAAGAGTTACAGTCTTCGGTTACACTTTTTTTTAAGGTGTCCTTGTTACAGTGTAATTATAAATTTAAGTACGGAGTAATATTAATTAACTATATGCACATACTATATGGTTAGGATTAGGGTTGGGCTTAGGGTTACTTGCATGTAATTATGCATAATTAATTGTCATTATAATAGCAAGTATGTGTAACAAGAACACCTTAAAATAGAGTGTTACCCAATCTTCTTTTATCCCTTCCTTGACCATGTGACTAAATACCAAATGTGAGACATTCAAACGGACCAATCAGCAAATTACAGCTTTGCCCACCGTGCAAAAGGTGTGACAATTAGCAGACCCCCCGATGTATACACATGTTGACCTACAGGCCTTGATCACAATCAGCACCTCTGTGCCTTCAGGAATTCCAAATGGACCTTTTGTTATGGAAGATAGGTCTATGGAAGATAAAGCAAAAGTCTTTGATAATTTTTGACCCTACAGAACATTTACTCTGTGGAGCTCTGTGGAGTGTTTATATTTCCTTACATTGCAGATGGCTTTGCCCACCGTGCAAAAGGTGTGATAATTAGCAGACCCCCCGATGTATACACATGTTGGCCTACAGGCCTTGATCACAATCAGCACCTCTGTGCCTTCAGGAATTCCAAATGGACCTTTTGTTATGGAAGATAGGTCTATGGAAGATAAAGCAAAAGTCTTTGATAATTTTTGACCCTACAGAACATTTACTCTGTGGAGCTCTGTGGAGTGTTTATATTTCCTTACATTGCAGATCTGCAATATGGGAGATTGGAAATATACAACTGATTATGATTTTAGGAGGTAAATTGAATTTCATGATATAAATTTACTTTCATGACATTCATTTCATGATATAAATTTACTTTATACTGTAATATTTTATAATTATAATATGTTCCTCCACTCCAACCAGCATGCAAAGACGTCTGATGATGTTTGCCTGAAGCAAACTAATCCAGTTCATAACCTGCTCCACAACAGCTTAGGGTCTTGGAGTAAACTGCTTGCTAACATATCGTTAGAAGTAGCCAGTATTTTTGGAACAGAAGATGAGCAGAATGGATTACAAAGGCCTTACTATACTATACTACATTATGTTTTATTAACAAAGTTTGGGAGGAGCACGTTCAGATAATTACCTAAATAACACGAAAGAAACATTCAGTAATCTACTCAATTAACAAGATAAAATGTATATATACAGGTGCATCTCAATAAATTAGAATGTCGTGGAAAAGTTAATTTATTTCAGTAATTCAACTCAAATTGTGAAACTCGTGTATTAAATAAATTCAGTGCACACAGACTGAAGTAGTTTAAGTCTTTGGTTCTTTTAATTGTGATGATTTTGGCTCACATTTAACAAAAACCCACCAATTCACTATCTCAACAAATTAGAATATGGTGACATGCCAATCAGCTAATCAACTCAAAACACCTGCAAAGGTTTCCTGAGCCTTCAAAATTGTCTCTCAGTTTGGTTCACTAGGCTACACAATCATGGGGAAGACTGCTGATCTGACAGTTGTCCAGAAGACAATCATTGACACCCTTCACAAGGAGGGTAACAGCCAGCTTCTTTGGCATTCATTGCCAAAGAAGCTGGCTGTTCACAGAGTGCTGTATCCAAGCATGTTAACAGAAAGTTGAGTGGAAGGAAAAAGTGTGGAAGAAAAAGATGCACAACCAACCGAGAGAACCGCAGCCTTATGAGGATTGTCAAGCAAAATCGATTCAAGAATTTGAGTGAACTTCACAAGGAATGGACTGAGGCACGACATTCTAATTTATTGAGATGCACCTGTACACAGCAGACTTACCTCTGTTCTGTGACAGTTTTCTAGCATCCTTCCATCACCCCATCTCCTCAATTCTAAATATTCCTATCTCAACCCTGGGGGGATATTAACAAAATATTAACTTTCCACAGTATTTAGGTTTTTAGAAAGAAAAACATACCAGTTGCTTTTGTTTGTTTTTGTATAAATTTAGGCTTGCTTGAAGTGAGTTCTATATTCTGTCGGAAGTGCATAAACTATATTGAACAAAATTATAAACGCAACACTTTTGTTTTTGCCCCCATTTTTCATGAGCTGAACTCAAAGATCTAAGACTTTTATGTACACAAAAGGCCTATTTCTCTCAAATATTGTTCACAAATCTGTCTAAATCTGTGTTAGTGAGCACTTCTCCTTTGCCGAGATAATCCATCCACCTCACAGGTGTGGCATATCAAGATGCTGATTAGACAGCATGATTATTGCACAGGTGTGCCTTGATCTCCTGGAGGAAATTAATACTATGTGGTTTTGGACTCTGACCATTCCTGTTTATTTATGTGCATTTTCAATCAATCAATCAATCAAATTATTATTAATATTATTATTAGAATAATACATAGATCAAAATTATTTATATTGAATATAATATTCGTTTTCTTTATAGCAATGTTTTTAAAAAATCTTTGTACATTAATTCACTGTACATTAGGGTTACAAAAAGATTCTATTAAACAAAAATCACAATAATCAGCATCTACATGAAATCTCTTACACGCTTTACTTATTTTAATCAGCATAACTGGATTGTTTCAGTATAGGGCACAAATGAAATGTAACCTGACTCATTTAGTGGACTGAATTAATTAGTGACATTTGCTATCATGTCGTTCACATGCACAGGTGAATGCACTTTTCATTTAACAGACAAGATATTTATTGAACAAAATGCACCCAGCACTATAGGGGAGAGATGAGCTATTTTTCACATTTCTTACTCCAGTTAATTTTTTCATGAAGGGTTTATTTTTGAAAGTCATTTTCTATGTGGACACATAGCCTATGCCTACCGTACGTCTTAGCTGCAGAAAAAAAATAAAGTAACAAACAAAATGATTGGAGGATAAAACACACATTTTTGCTGTTCGAACTTTGTAACAGCCTAATAGATTCATTCTATTAATAGGTTTCATTTTTTTCTAATGTCAGTTCTATTCAAGTTTACTGTAATAGCCATGTGAGGTACGGAAAACCTTATCACAACCTTTTCACGACACAAATAAATAGTTAAAGTAACTTGCTGGGTACACCCTTTATTGTTGATGGAGTAAGAGCGTAAATCTGATGCTGTAGTGCACGCTACAGAGATTCGTCACCAAAATTGAACCTGTTAGACTAGCCTACCACACCTTACCTTACAAACGTCAACTCACCTTATATTTACTGGCCCAAGTTTTGTATTGTCAGTCTGTAAACTTTGAACGAAAACGCATCACATAGGCTAGAAGCATCGCAAGGACTATTGTAAGGGATATTGTTCGTTAGGCTATTCATGGTTATGACTTTGAAGAGCGGGAGAAGGTAGGTCACTGAATGAAAGACAAATTCATTCATTTTAAAAAATAACTTATAAATTAATATTGTGTCAAGAGTTCGATAGTATATATATTTATAATTTATGTTTTATTTACATGCGTTAGCTACAGCAAAAGAAATGTTTTCTAGATAAAGAAAAATGTTTTCTATGAAAAAATACATGAAGCAAATATGATAGTCTGTGTTTCATCCGCTTTTGCGAAGGAACGTTATTATCTCAGGTCTCCTTAAAGCGCGCGTGTAAAGTTACACTGGACATCACTTAACGAGAGCCTCGACCACTCGCAAATCGTTCACTCAGCTTAAAGGGATCGTTTCCCTTTATTGCTCAATTTGTCAAAAAATGGGACAAACAAACAATAAATAAAATAAAATAAAATAAAATAATGAATGCATTTTTGACTATAGCAAAGCGAATGTATATAATCTAATGCATAAGTGTTTTTCCGTCTTTAAACCCATAGACAACAATCTGTTCATGCCATAATTAAGATGACAGACATACATTTTTGGAGCCTATTGTAATAAACATAACTGTTGTAGTTAAGTACAGTAAAATTATATAAATATATTATTTATAGAATTATATAAATAAAATAATAATTATTTTAAATTTACAAGAAAATGTGACCCCACAATTATATTTTTGTATAATTTTCATCTATAAATTATGTAAGTTTTCAAATATTTTCCACTGCATATCTGCCAAATTCTTATGGTCAGTGTATGCTGTTCAAATCTCCTCAAGTTTATAGTTAGTCACAATTAGCTATTGCACAGTGCTTAGATTGTGTAAAATCAGTGGTGGAAATGGCCAAAATTCATTGGGGGGGGGGGGGGGGACGCGAGGTATGGGGTATTTTTTCCCTAACCTTATGAAATGTCAAATTCATACATTTATATTTACAAACCTTTAAAAAATAATAATGAAAAAAATAAATTGAATCAGAATAATAAGATACAATCAGGAAGAATAGGTTACCAACCAAATGAAATCAGTATCAACAAAATTAATCTTTGCACTACAGAGGTGCACAGAACACAAAAGTGGCATTTCGGTATATTTACACTGTTTAATTGGGCTCAGCGTTGGCATTAATTAATTTAAATGCATAATAACAACGTTATGAGATTAATGTTTTAAACAAAAAGTTTTGAAAAAAAAACTTTAAAAAAAAAAAAGTTTTGAATATAGAAATATTAAATAATTGAAATAACTGAAATGATGCTTTAAATATGAAACTAAAACTGCCAGTAGGTGGCGGTAAGTCCCTGTCTTTGTCACTGAATAATTCATTCAATCGATTCGTTCAAACAGCTGAATAATTCATGAACAAAGCAAGTGACCATCTTTATGAATGGGTGATTGAATCATTGACTCACTCGATTCATTCAAAAACGCACATTCATAAACGAAACTACTAGAACACTTTGTAAATTGAAACCTTAGATGTTCTCCAGAGCATAGACACATACGTCTGGATTACCGTGAGCGTTTGTGGATCTGTTGTGTGCTTGTGCAAGTGTGGTAGGTTATGATACTATTTTCATTCTATATGCGTCTCATTAACGGTAATGCGAGGTAGTTCCATGTACGCTAACACAGCTTTATTCATATAAAAGTTTTTGTTATTGCATCTGTTAGAGTTAGATGTAAAAGTAAGATGTTCAGATTTTTGGCTAAATCACGGTTCATCCTAGATTCTACCTGAAGCAGTCTGCTTTTAAGATCTGGGGTGCGTTTCCCAAAAGCATCTTTAGCTAACTATGGTAGTTAGTTCCATTGAAATCTATTGGTAACGACGGACCTTGCGACCATAGTTGCTTTTAGGAAACGCACGACTAGCGCCTATAGAGAAGCATGCCCATTGGCTGCAGTCTTCAAGTATTATGGCTAATCATAAAAGTCGACATTGCCCAGCTAACCATAGACACAAATATCCCGCTATGTTTTTATTATATATTACGCTACGTTTATGTGCGGAGCTCCGATCGCTTTCTTAGGCTTTTGAATTGATATAATAATAATAATATTAATAATAATAATTTTTTACCTGCTTTAACTTTTCTGCCTGATCAGAAAGTTTACTCATTTGTAGATATTCTTTTATGAAGGGTAAGGTTGTTAATTGTAAAACAATTAAAATAATAACTATGTCTTGTTTTCTCTTTTAGCAGTTTTTTTCATTCTAAGCAGGATGGCACTAGGAAAATTTTATTCACCCTATGTAAGTATCGTAATTTTATGTGTGTGTCATTTATAATATTAATGGAATATATATACTAGTGCTGTCATTAATTAATCACATCCAAAATAAAAGTTTTTGTTTATATGTGTGTGTGTGTGTACTATGTATATTTATTATGTATATATTATGTAAACAAAACTTTTATTTTGGATGCGATTAATCGTGATTATTCGTTTGACTGCACTAATATATATATATGTTTGTTCTACAGTTTGTTTTGGAATTGTTCTGTTTTGGGCTAAATATAAACAAAAATGAATGAAAGATTTTACAGGAATGTGTTTCTCTTTACAGTGTGTTTGTGGTGTGCTGTTCACCTTGGGTAAGTGATTATTTAATTATTTTTTTTGTATTTCAATTATGTGTCATTGCTTTTTCATCTAATACAAACATGTTTTTGTAAAAGGTAATTCGATTTTAGATCTAATATTTTTCTTTTAAAAAATCCAGCGCTTCAACAACAGTTGAGCAGTCTACAACTTCAGGATATACAGCTTCAGAAACCCCAACTGTACTTTCCACTCCAACCTCAGCAACATCAGCTCCGACCACATCTGATTCTCCAGGTACAACAACGGTTATAACTTCAGAAACACTTGCTTCAACAACCATGCCTACATCTTCAGAAACGACATCTGCAGCTGAAACAACAAATACTGCATCCACAACCACAACTGAGCCTTCCACTACTACAGCTGTAACCACAACATCACTTGGACTCACAACAACTGAACTCACTACAACTTCAGAGAGTACAACAGCAGAAACCACGACTACAGCTTCATCAACCACATCTACAACAACAAACGATCCAACAACATCAACAGCCATAACTTCAGAATCCACAACTCTCACTTCAACAACAATGCCTACATCTTCAGAAACAACTGCACCCGTAACAACTTCAGTATCTACAGCATCCTCAACTACTGAAATTCCCACAACCACAGTTGTGAGTACAGAAACCACATCTATTACTTCAACAGTGGTGCCTACAACTTCAGAGAGTACAACAGCAGAAACCACGACTACAGCTACATCAACCACAGCTATAACAACAAACGACCTTACAACATCAACAGCTGTAACTTCAGAATCCACAACTCTCACTGCAACAACAATGCCTACATCTTCAGAAACAACTGTACCTGTAACAACATCAGTAACTACAGTATCCTCAACTACTGAAATTCCCACAACCACAGTTGTGAGTACAGAAACAACATCTATTACTTCAACAGTGGTGCCTACAACTTCAGAAAGTACAACAGCAGAAAACATGACTACAGCTTCATCAACAACACCTACAACAACAAACGATCCAACAACATCAACAGCTGTAACTTCAGAATCCACAACTCTCACTTCAACAACAATGCATACATCTACAGAAACAACTGCACCTTTAACAACTTCAGTAACTACAGCATCCTCAACTACTGAAATTCCCACAACCACAGTTGTGAGTACAGAAACCACATCTATTACTTCAACAGTGGTGCCTACAACTTCAGAAAGTACAACAGCAGAAATCACAACTACAACTTCATCAACCACATCTACAACAACAAACAATCCAACAACATCAACAGCTGTAACTTCAGAATCCACTACTCTCACTTCAACAACAATGCCTACATCTACAGAAACAACTGCACCTGTAACAACATCAGTAACTACAGCATCTTCAACTATTGAAATTCCCACAACCACAGTTGTGAGTACAGAAACCACATCTATTACTTCAACAGTTGTGCCTACAACTTCAGAAAGTAAAACAGTTGAAATCACGACTACAGCTTCATCAACCACACCTACAACAACAAACGATCCAACAACATCAACAGCTGTAACTTCAGAATCCACAACTCTCACTTCAACAACAATGCCTACATCTTTAGAAACAACTGCACTTGCAACAACATCAGTAACTACAGCATCCTCAACTACTGAAATTCCCACAACCACAGTTGTGAGCACAGAAACCACATCTATTACTTCAACAGTGGTGCCTATAACGTCAGAGAGTACAACAGCAGAAACCACGACTACAGCTTCATCAACCACATTTACAACAATAAACGATCCAACAACATCAACAGTTGTAACTTCAGAATTCACAACTCTCATTTCAACAACAATGCCTACATCTACAGAAACAACTGCACCCGTAACAACTTCAGTAACTACAGCATCCTCAACTACTGAAATTCCCACAACCACAGTTGTGAGTACAGAAACAACATCTATTACTTCAACAGTGGTGCCTACAACTTCAGAGAGTACAACAGCAGAAATCACAACTACAGCTTCATCAACTACACCTACAACAACAAACGATCCAACAACATCAACAGCTGTAACTTCAGAATCCACAACTCTTACTTCAACAACAATGACTACATCTTCAGAAACAACTGTACCTGTAACAACATCAGTAACTACAGCATCCTCAACTACTGAAATTCCCACAACCACAGTTGTGAGTACAGAAACCACACCAATTACTTCAACAGTGGTGCCTACAACGTCAGAAAGTACAACAGCAGAAACCACGACTACAGCTTTATCAACCACCCCAACAACAACAAACGATCCAACAACATCAACAGCCGTAACTTCAGAAACCAGAACTCTTACTTCAACAGTTATACCTATACCTTTAGAAACAATTGCACCTGTAACAACATCAGAAACTACGACTACAGCTTCATCAACCACACCTGTAACAACAAACGATCCAACAACTTCAACAGCTGTAACTTCAGAATCCACAACTCTTACTTCAACAACATTGTCTACATCTTCAGAATCGACTGCACCTGTAACAACATCAGTAACTAAAGCATCCTCAACTGCTGAAATTCCCACAACCACAGTTGTGAGTACAGAAACCACACCAATTACTTCAACAGTGGTGCTTACAACTTTAGAAAGTACAACAGCCGAAACCACGACTACATCTTTATCAACCACACCTACAACAACAAACGATCCAACAACATCAACAGCTGTAACTTCAGGATCCACAACTCTTACTTCATCAACAATGCCTACATCTACAGAAACAACTGTACCTGTAATAACATCAATAACTACAGCATCCTCAACTACTGACATTCCCACAAGCACAGTTGTGAGTACAGAAACCACATCTATTACTTCAACATTGGTGCCTACAACTTCAGAGAGTACAACAGCAGAAACCACGACTACATCTTCTTCAACTATATCTATGACAACAATTAATCCAACAACATCAACAGCTATAATTTCAGAATCCACAACTCTCACTTCAACAACAATGCCTACATCTTCAGAAACAACTGCACCTGTAACAACATCAGTAACTACTGCATCCTCAACTACTGAAATTCCCACAACTACAGTTGTGAGTACAGAAACCACACCAGTTACTTCAACAGTGGTGCCTTCAACTTCAGAAAGTACAACAGCAGAAACTTCAGATTCCACAATTCTCACGTCAACAACAATGCCTACATCTTCAGAAACAACTGCACCTGTAACAAAATCAATAACTACTGCATCCTCAACTACTGAAATTCCCACAACCACAGTTGTGAGAAACAACTGTGTAACAAAATCAATAACTACTGCATCCTCAACTACTGAAATTCCCACAACCACAGTTGTGAGTACAGAAACTACACACATTACTTCAACAGTGGTGCCTACAACTTCAGAGAGTACAACAGCAGAATCCAAGACTACAGCTTCATCAACCACATCTACAACAACAAACTATCCAACAACGCCAATAGCTGTAATTTTAGAATCCACAACTCTTACTTCATCAACAATACCAACATCTTCAGAAACATCTGCACCTGTAACAACATCAGTAACTAAAGCATCCTCAAGGACAACAACAGCTCAGATCACATTGGCAATTGAAACCACAGCAACAGTTGTCAATCCTGCTCCAATGTCTACAACTTCAGAAAGTACAACTGCATATAAAACAACGTCAACCTCAGCTACCAAAATAGTACCTTCAACAATTGCATCAGCTGCAACCTCATCTGAAGCTCCAAGTACAAAAACAGCTGAAACCACAATGACACTTGCAGCCACAACTATTGAAACCTCAACTCTTACTTCACCAGCAATGTCTACAACTTCAGAAAGTACTCCTGTACCTGTAACATCCACCATTACAGCTTCCTCTTCTATGACTGTACCTTCCACTGCTTTGTCATCTTCAGTCTCATCTGAAGCTGCAAGTAGAACAACAAAAGTTCCAACCACATCCACAATTACAGCCACAACAACGTCTGCAACTTCATCAACAACAGTCAAAACCACAACTTCAACTCTAACTCTGTCTCCAGTTACATCAAGATTAGCAACAACAACAAATAACTATCCTGCAACTGAAAGTCCAGCTCAAACCTCAGCTTCAATTCCAGGAACAAACACACCTACAGCGGCAACAACAACTGCATTTCAAATAACAACTGCACCTCTATCAAGCACAACTATTGCTTTCACTAATACTCCAGCTCTAAGCCAAGCAGTACTCCTTACCACAACAAAGGCACCTTCAATAACCACAGTTGTGTCCCCGGAGACTGTAACTACTGCTGTAACAATTATGCCTATCTCATCATCACATGTAACTATATCCCCAACTTTAACACCAACAAAAACAACTGAACCTCCAAGAACCCAAACTACACCCATTACAACCGTGACTGTTCTTCCCACAATTACAATTACAGCTGATATCTCAGCTCCAGCTCCAAGCACAACAACAGCCACCATTCCAAGTTCAACTGCAGCTCAAACAACAACTGCATTTCAAGTAACAACAGGAGGCCTTTTAAGAACAACTGTAGCTTTTACCAGCACATCTTCTGCTCCAGCCACACTTGTACTTTCAACCAAAACAACTTCAAGCCCAAACATAGATTCAGAAACTACAACTGCATCAACAACTACAACTGGAATTATTACAGGTCTCACCAGTGCAGCAGAATTTCCAATAGCTCCAATAACATCAGTTCCAAACACAAATACGTCAACATCCCCAACATATACAATTCAAGGTCAAACATCAGTCAAAACAACACCAGCTGAAACTCTTACTAGCAATACTACACCTCTAGACAATACAACAAAAGCAGATGCATCTGCAACACTTCAAAGTGCTTCAAGTTCGCAACCAGAAACTTCAAACATACCCAAAACATTGTCAACGAATGTGACTGGTGCAGCAACAGTCACAACCAAATTGGTATTCTCATCCTTGTCATCAGTGCCCACTGAAGATTTGGTCCTAGGTGCTATCGGTACACTTCTGGAATCTAGAGAGTCACAACTCAATGAATCACTGCAGATTGTCAATGTTACCTATCAGAGTAAGTTTTGTCATTAAAAAAAAAAAAAAACCAATTAAAACATGAAAATTTCAACCAGCAAAACATGTCAACATTTAACTGATTGAAAATGGGTGTTTCTTTCCAAACAGAAATATCAGAAACCTCCTATGTCGTCATCTTGGAGTTTAGACTGAGTAACATAAGCATGCCAGAGAACCCTGAGCTAAGAAACAGCAGTTACGTGCAAGTACAAGATGTCATCAATAATGCGGTAAGAATTTGGCATTAACCCATTAACAAAGTTTAGGTCCATTGTAAGTCTTCACCAGAAACTGATGAATGATTTGATTTTTCTCCTGCAGCTGAACACTCTTCTGAATGAACCTGGTAGTCCAAATGTACAACCTAAGTCATCAAACTTCACGTAAGATGCAAACTCACGTCACAATCTTTATTTCATGTGTCCTCACATTTGAGATTATTAAAGCTATGTAAAGTAACAAATAAATTAAAAAAATAGAACAAATAAATAATAATAAAAAATAAAAAAAACTTTTTCAAGATGTGAATTAAGGTCCCTAACAGATATCTCTTTTTTTTTTACTGTAGGAGCACTTCGAACCAGATTGATGGCAGGATGGAATACACCTTCCAGGATGGAGATGTCATACAACCAGTCAGCTTCCTCAATGAGCTACATCTACCAACCACTACAACAGTGTTTCCAGAAACAACATTTGGTTTCTCTGTGACTCCTTCAATCCTCATGTAAGTGTTGGTTTTCTATTTTGAGAACAATCAAAAATGGGAAGTAATTTTATTGCAAAAAATTAACAGTGTAAAAAGACTTAGGTTCAATGCCAGTCTTCACGAGAAACTGATGAATGATTTGATTTTTCTCCTGCAGCTGAACACTCTTCTGAATGAACCTGGCAGTCCAAATTTACAACCCAAGTCCTCCAACTTCACGTAAGATGCAAACTCACGTCACAATCTTTATTTCATGTGTCCTCACATTTTAGCTTATTAAAGCTATATAAAGTTACAAATACCAAAAAAAAAATAAATAAATAATAAAAATATAACAAATAAATAATAATAAAAAATAAAAACCTTTTTCAAGTTGTGGATTAAAGTCCCTAACAGATATATCTCTTGTTTGTCTTGTAGGAGCACTTCAAAGCAGATTGATGGCAGGATGGAATACAGCTTCCAGGATGGAGATGTCATACAACCAGTCAGCTTCCTCAATGAGCTACGTCTACCAACCACTACAACAGTCTTTCCAGAAACAACAACCAGTGTTTCTGTTACTACTCCCAACCTCATGTAAATTTTGGTTTTCTATTTTGAGAAAAAATAAATATGGAGAAGTCATGATTTTATTGCAAAAATTGGATGTACATTAAACAAAAGTGGTTATATTTACAGATCTGGTTCAGCAGTGGTCACAAGCAAGCTGGTGTTCAACTCCTCATCTCCAGTCCCCAGTGAATCTCTGGTCCTCAGTGCAATCAAAACTCTCCGTAATTCCAGAGAGTCACAGCTCAATGAATCGGTGAAGGTGGTGAATGTTACCTATGAGAGTAAGTGTCATCATTTTCATTTGGACAGTTTTGAAATGAGATTGAGTCAAACAATGATGTATTGCAGGCTTTTGGCAAATCTTAAAATGACCATTTCCATCCAAACAGAGATCTCAGAAACCTCCTATGCTGTGGTCTTTACATTTAACGTGATTAACATCAGCATGCCAGAGGACCCTAATCTCAGAGGCAACACCTACCAGCAAGTGCAGAATACCATCAATAATGCGGTAAACTTAAAAAATTAACAGTGTAAAAAGACTTAGGATCAATGCCAGGCTTCACGAGAAACTGATGAATGATTTGATTTTTCTCCTGCAGTTGAACACTCTTCTGAATGAACCTGGCAGTCCAAATTTACAACCCAAGTCCTCCAACTTCACGTAAGATGCAAACTCACGTCACAATCTTAATTTCATGTGTCTTCACATTTTAGCTTATTAAATATTTTTTCAAGATGTGGATTAAAGTCCCTAACAGATATCACTTGTTTGTTCTGCAGTAGCAACAGTGTCTCTATTACTGCTCCAAACCTCATGTAATTGTTGGTTTACTATTTTGGGAACAATCAAACATGTGAAGTAATTTTATTGCAAAAATTTGATGTACATTAAACAAAAGTGGTTATATTTATAGATCTGGTTCAGCAGTAGTCACAAGCAAGCTGGTGTTCAACTCCTCATCTCCAGTCCCCAGTGAATCTCTGGTCCTCAGTGCAATAAATAAATAGAACAAATTAATAATAATAAAAATAAAATAAAATAAAAAAAACTTTTTCAAGATGTGGATTAAAGTCCCTAACAGATATCACTTAGTTTCAATGCCAGTCTTCACCAGAAACTGATGAATGGTTTGATTTTTCTCCTGCAGCTGAACACTCTTCTGAATGAACCTGGTAGTCCAAATTTGCAACCCAAGTCCTCCAACTTCACGTAAGATGCAAACTCACATCACAATCTTAATTTCATGTGTCTTCACATTTTAGCTTTTTAAATATTTTTTCAAGATGTGGATTAAAGTCCCTAACAAATATCTCTTTTTTGTCCTGTAGGAGCACTTTAAAGCAGATTGATGGCAGGATGGAATACACCTTCCAGGACGGAGATGTCATAAAACCAGTCAGCTTCCTCAATGAGCTTCGTTCACAGACAGGTTTGTCAAAACTGACAATGGATTGCAAATGTTGTAACTGCAAGCTTCTTCCATTTATCATTACTTTCTTTTACAGTCTTAACGACAGCCAGCACTCTGACAATTACTCCACCGATAGTGTAAGAGCAGTGATTTCAGTCTGATATTTACTATTTAAAAAAATATATATTTTCATTTCCGACCTTAATGTATATTATTTATTGTCTTTGTAGGCTTGGCAGAGCGCTTATATTCATTCGCCTCGTGTTTGTCACACTGGGACCCCTGCCAAATTCAGAGAAGGTTCTTGAGGTGGCCAACACTCTGCTGAACAAGCGTCTCACAACTAAACAAGACACCAAAACACAAGCCCTGAGTGATCCTGTGAGCGTTGTCAATGTCACATATACAAGTGAGTTTTCCTCTCCTGGTTTGGCTTCTTTTTGTTCTAAATGTGTTGTTTAAATTCTAATGTTGTAGATTTGTAGCTTTCATAGCCTATTTTGAAGAAAAATAATATTAAGGAATGCATTAGTGAAATTTCCCCACCCACATATAAGCACACAACTATTTTTTTTGTTTTAATATATTTTTAAGAAATAAATGAGACGGCCTATGCTCTCGACTTTGGATTTGAAATCAGCAATATAACCATGTCTGAGAAGCTTGAACTCAGGGATGGCACCCACCTGACAATACAAGACTCTATAAACACATTGGTAAGTTGGAGACATTTCAATAGTGTAGTATTTTACAAACACTTGTTTTCTTCTTCTGTCTCTCTTTTTCATTTGCCACATTAACCTCAACATATTTATAAACAAATTCATCTCATTTTTTTCAGTTGGGCAAGATGCTCCTCAGTAACTCCTCAGCTCCTCTCATTAAGTTCCAAGCAGCTGATTTCACGTATGTTCTGACTCACATTTTACTTTAATTTGAGCAAATATGTCCTAATGACTCTTCTTTGGTGTTAGTTGGGAAGTTTTTTTATATGAGTTTTTGTATATGGCTTGTGTCTTATTGACTTTAGTTTCTCATTGTACATTTTAATCTCCCCACAGGGGTAATTCCACAGTAATTAAGGCCAATGTAGAGTATGTTTTCTCACCAAGTGACATCACGCAACCCAGCATCTTTGTTCAGGAACTTCTCCAACTTGACGGAGGTATTACCATATCCACACCTGCTGCACTGTCAACCATCTGTTACCTCACAGTTTATATGGCCAAACTGACAATCAAATGTTAAACTTCCATTTTTTGTCATGTTTTATATAAGTCTGATTTTCCTCCGTTAATTATTACTTTCGTTTACAGCGAGCACTCTGACAACCACAACTTCACCACCGATCTTGTAAGACCAATGAGTGATTTAAAAAAAAAAAAGCTAGTTGTTTTCATTTTCTGTGTTTATATTCCAATTATTTATCATCTTTATTTATGCAGGACTAGGAGGGTAATTATTAAGATTCGTCTCGAGTTTATCACACTGGGCCCAAGACCAAGTGAGAGTAATGTTCTACAGGTGGTTAAATCTATGCTGGCCTCAAATCTCACAACTAAACTAACCACGAGAGTAACAAGCATGAGTGAACCTCTGTCCTTGCAGAATGTTGAGTATTTGGGTGAGTTTTTCTCTTTTCATGCTCCATTTTTGTTGTGAATATAACATAATTATAACATAATAATATAATTCATGGCCTATAATTCATGAAAATAATAATAAAAAACAGTCAATAATTATGCATAATGAATAATGAAAATGGATAATGAAATATCATGACCGATAATATAGTCACACAACTAATTATTTTTGTTATATATTTTTAAGGTATTAATGACACCGCCTACACACTCATTTTTGCATTTGAAATAAACAAAGTATCACTGACAGAGATAAAAAGGAAAGAAGCCTATCAAGAAATCCAAAAGAAGATAAATGATTTGGTGAGTTGGAGAGGCTTGGAAATTGTTGCCCTGAAATTGAAACTGCCCTGTTTTAATCATTTACCTATTGTATTTTATTGCTGCACTCTACAGGTGATCCAGATACTAAAGGACCCCTCGGTTAATTTGCTCATTCCAGCCGAATTCAAGTGAGTTCTGATCCACTGCTTTTTACTTTATTTTGAGAAGAAATATCTAAATAAATTTAAGAAAACTGCTTTTATTTAGCGATGCACCGAATATTCGGCAACCGAATAAGAGAAAAAGACAGAATAAATTGTACCGAACAGTGATATGACGCGATCAAATAGAGGCGCGCACTCTTTATAATGCAGCACACGTCAGCAGTGTGGAAGCATTTAAACTGTCTGAGAAAGACGCCAGCAAGAACTCCATCAGCATTCATAAATGTTAGCATTGTAATTTTACTGTTGTTCTGAAAAAATAAAAAGTAAGGCAATATAATGATAATAATAATTACAACTGCTCTGTTAATACATTTATTATAACATACACACATAGTGTTCAAATTGGGATCTGTAATATTTTTTAATGTTTTAAAAGAATTATCTTCTGCTCAGCAAGGCTGCTTTTATTTGTACAGTAAAAAAATACATCCCTGATTCAAGAAGGGGGTCTGATGGCCAAAAAATATTATTTTACTAACTTATTAATTTTAAGTTAAATTGTGCTTTGTTGGTATAATGTCTGCTAGAATGTTTAAAAAAAATGTTCAGTGTTAAATATTTTTAAATTGTTGTTTTTTTAATTGATTTTTTCTTTGAAAAGCAAGGCAAAACAGTAAAAATCACATTTTGGCATTATTATTATTTGACACACATTATTTAATTTATGCAATGGTGAAAAAAATTGGCAAAATACATGGGGGAAAAATACTCGAAAAACCGTGTTCGGTATTCGGCCTTCTGCCCAGTGTTTAATTTTGTTCGGTTTCGGCCAAGAATTTACATTTCGGTGCATCCCTACTTTTATTAATGTGATGTTTTTGATACATGGGTGAATGAATGGCAAGATCGTTTTTAGTTATTTCCTTTTGTTTCTCATTGTATGTTTTATTCTCTCCACAGGGATGATCTCTTTGTGATTCAGGCCAATGTTACGTATGTTTTCTCACAACATGACAGCAACACGGCCTCCGGTTTCTTGGTCAGTGCCCTTTTCACGGCTTTTACCACACCAGTTCCAACCACCATGAGCGCTACAACCTCCAACAATGGTACAAACGTAGCATGGATTGTTGCTATCATTGTCCCCTGCGCTATTGTCATCGGGCTCGTACCTTGCTGGATTCTCCTTTGCGTAAGTATTATGTTGACGGAATGACAAATATGTGCATTGGTTAGTGAAGTGATTAATGACAACAGGCATGTCATATTCTTACAGTAAAAATAGACAGATCTGGTATATAATTGTGTATGTACAGCTGATTAAAAGTGTTTTTAAAGTGTATAAAATTCCCTTCCATGATGCTAACTCTCACTTTGTCTGTTTATATGTTTAGTGTTTGCTGTGTGGTTGCTGTGCAGCAATCAGAAGACGTTGGCACAGAAGACAGTCGTACAATGTGCAGTACACCACTCGAAACAGCCTCTTCTAGACAATTCAGAGATATTTGACAGAAACAGGACTGAACACCAATGAGAACATAAAAATCATGGATTTTGGATATTCAATATGCTATTCAAGACTGCTTCTTTTGTAGTAATGAAAGTACTATGTTAATGCTTCTTTTATAAATTATTTATTTTATTATGCTATATATAAACAGGTCCTCCATAAAATATTCCTAAATGTGACATTTTAATACTTCCTATAGTGTATAATGAAATTGTATTGTTGTTATTTATTTGTATTTATTTGTAATATTCTGTTTATGTTTACAGTTAATAATCTTTTGCAAATCATTAGTCTGCTTGACACTAGACAGTTTAATTTAAAGGGACAAAAGGTAGAACATTGGAATTAGAGCTATTATTTATTCATGCTCCATGCACTTTAACTTTATAAATGTAAAGCAAATGTAAAGCAAGCACATGATGTAAAGGAAATGCAAAAAAGCGAATTTATGTAATTCATTGGCATGAACATGTTAAACTGCAAAAAAAAAACTGTAATAAAAAAACTAGATCAATAAAGAATACAGAAAAATACAGAGGTTTGTGTTTCTCGTTGTAATGTAGTGTAAATATAAAGGTCACACATTATTGGCCTTAGTCTTGTACATCAAAGCTGTTTATATGGTAAACAATGTTACAGTTTTTTTCAATTAGGTGGAAATAAATGTATCTACATTTACCACTTATTCAAGATATTTTTAACTTAGTAAAGTTCCACAACGTTGCAAAGTATGAATATCTTCTGAGCCACTGTTGATTTGTTGAGGTTATGCTTAACTTCATTGCTCAGGTCAAGTCAAGGTTTAGTGTTAGATGTGTGCAACAACCTTGCAGTCAGTAGGCTGCTGTGGTTAGAGTAAAATAAACTGAAGTAAAATTAAATAAAAAAAAACTGTAGTTTTGCAATAATAAATACATAGTGGTAATCATTCAGGAAAAATGGAAATAAAACTAAAAAAGCCCAGCAATCATAAATGCAATGTATTGCATTTAAAATCTATGAATTGTAGGATTTATTTATGTAAGGTAAGACACACCAGGGCTGCGTTCAGCCCCGACAAAAACGGTGCAAAACGTTTTTTCAACGGAAACGGTGGTGCGTTGAACACCCTGTTCTGCCTACATAATACAATAGCAAAATATATAAATAGGTATAGTATTTTTGTTACATTATAGGGGTCATATGATGCGATATCAATTTTGCCTTTCTCTTTGGAGTGTTACAAGCTCTTGGTGCATAAAGAAGATCTGTAAAGTTGCAAAGACTAAAGTCTCAAAACCAAAGAGATATTCTTTATAAAATTTAAGAGTTAACCACGCCTACCTAAAACGGCTCGTTCTAACACGTGCTGTTCAGTTGCGTTGACACAATCTGTATTGTTAAAAGCGCTATATAAATAAAGGTGACTTGACTTGACTTGACATGTTTGACACACCCACCAAACAAGAGAAAACGCATCTCAAACCTCGTTGCACACCGTTTTCAGGAAACATGTCGTTCAAACCGGAAACCGTAGCAAAACGGTGCACACCGGTTTGAGCTTGAACTTGCCCCAGGTGAACAGGACAAAAATTACTAAAATATTTTGCCACACTCCCCCAGTTGATTGTTTGCATTAGGAAATAGCAGGTTTTATTTTTTTGTATTAGAAGTTGTCTGAAATCTTAAATGTAAATAAATATGAAATTAGCATACATTTTCGAAACATAAATCTGACCGTTGGATAAAGCCAGTTCAAAATTCTTGTTTCATTTTGTTTACATACTAGAATTAAAAAAGGAAATAAGGAAAATAGGAAATACCTCCCTTTTTTTTAACGTTTTAGCAATAAAATGTTGTATGACATAAACATTATTTAGAGAAAAAAAATCCATTTGAACTATGTATTGTAATTAAAATCTACTTAGGCTATAAACAAATAAATTGCAATGAAATAAAGACTTCCATCTCAAAACTGACCAGTACATTAAAAAATTATGTTTTGCCTGTAGTGTCTTGCAAATGTTTTTTTTTTTTTTTTTTTTTTTTTTCGTAATACAGTCTGAAGAGAACTGTCTGAATAGGGCTTAGCTTGTGTAGTGTTCAGTTGTGTGTGTGTGTTTTTTCACTGACTGGCGCTCATTCTCCTGCTGTTCTTTGATGATTTTGTTGGACTCTAATGCCACTCTCTTCTGATGCATTAGCTCTTGTCTTTCGAGCTCACGTCGTGCTTCAACCGCCAGCCGCTCCTCATCAGTCATAAACAGCTCGCTTCCCTGAAACATACAGTAGACAAATCAGTACTTTCATAGATATATACACATAAATTCATCCCTTCAATCATATATATATATGAACGTTATCAGGAAGGCTATTCCAGAGTTTGGGAGCCAAATGCGATAAAGCTCTACCTCCTGTAGTGGACTTTGCTATCCTAGGTACTACCAAAAGTCCAGAGTTTTGCGACCTTAGGGAGCGTGATGGATTGTAGCGTGGTAGAAGACTAGTTAGGTACGCAGGAGCTAACCCATTAAGGGCCTTATAGGCAAGTAATAATATTTGGTTACACTTTATTTCGATAGTCCACTTTAGACATTCTACTAACTATAAGTAACTTTGTAACTACATGTCAACTACATGTCAACTAATTCTCATTAATTTGCATCTACATGTCTACTAACTCTCAGAGTAGACTGTTAAGGTAGGTTTAGGGTTAGTAGAATAAGTTGACAAAGAAAGTGTTAGAAGATATTAAGCAGACAGTCTACTAATACTCTATTCCATTCCTCATTAATTTCTCAGTCCGTGTCAATTTTTTACATCCGAAAATATTCAAAAATAAACCGTTATGTTCACTCCACTGTGATACTGTACTAAGTCTATTTATGGGCACTTGAAAAATTGCTCAGTAGCACGAGAGCTTTTATTTTAAAATAGCACAAACGGATGTTGTCGACTCATTGGCCAGCTTCGCGTTTCGAGCTGTATAAAACGGTTTGAGCTCCAGACCCGTAGACATAACGTTACTCCTTTGGACGGATTTATTGTAACTGCCTCACTGTTATTAAAGGAGCTTAATCTTAATAGATACCGACTCAATGGCAAATATTATAACGTTTCAGACGCAAATCGCTTCAGTCATGGAAGTACTCGCAAACGCCGCTGTGGCAGAAATATGCAAACTTGTTGAGGACAGCTATACCGAATTACAGCTTGAAATATCTCAAACACAAAAGGAGAATAACCTCCTTAAAAAGAAATTGAAAGTGATAGAAATCCGGGATTCGTTTTATCGAAGAGCTCGCAAACTAAGAAACGAATCAACTGCCTTGACAAAAACAGGTGTTCACGAAAAAGCATCAGGTAAAGGGGTGATCATGGTCTTTCAGTTAGACAATAGTGATGTCGGACTAGTTCCATTACATTAGTAACTATTATATCTTATTAATTACTAATAGAGAACGTGTTGTGTTTCCAGGTCGAATTAGTGTGAAAATCGCTTCGCTGTCTAATGAGGGTGGGGATGAAGATGAAACAGCTCGCTCCCGTAAAGTCTCGCATCTTCAACCCGAAAGACTAGACCAGGTCTGCATGAACAGTGACTGTCTCGTTTGTTTGTACACTGTACACTGCAAACCTCTGTTACCTGTTCATTCAATCTTGACAGTTCCTACAGTGCTTATACTTCCCCATTTATCACAGAGTTAATCTTTTGTGTTATTAGCATTTCAATGATACTTAAAAACCTTTAAAAAAATACTTCAAATATTGTGACCTCAATATGTCACTTGCTATCATTGAGTTGTTTTTTTGTATAGATAGATACAGTAAAAGCAAATATTGATTTTTCAGCATGATCCATTCAGAAATCATAATATGCAGATGCTATATCTAATATGCTGATTTGGTCCTCAAGAAACATAATTATGTTGAAAACAGTTGTACTGCTTAATATTTTTGTGGAAACAATGCTTATTTTCAGAATTCTTTGAAGAACAGAAAGTTCAAAAGAACAGCATTTGTTTGAAATAGAAATCTTTTGTAATACTGTAAATGTCATTTTTATCAATATAATGCATACTTGCTCAATGAAAGTATTAGTTTAATTTAAAAAATAAAAATCTTACCGACCAAGATTTTTGAAGGGTGGTGTATATGCAATCTGTACAAATCTGGATAATGCTGTCATAGGTCATTGAACAACCCATGTCAGTTGACCACTAATTGCTACTTTTCAGAACAGATTTTTTCCCCCCTAAACATTTGCTCTCAGGAAACATGACAACATTGTACTTTTGATCAGTCTGTAGAGAATGACGAGCCAGACATTCTCCTTATTAAAGAGGAGAGAGCTGGCAACGAGAGGTGTGAACAGTCAGAAAGAGAAACAGAGACTACTGAAAATCGTGAGTATGGTGTATTTTATTTTCGTTGTAAGTTATTTCAGGGAATAAGTGCATATAGTGGTCAGAACTGTGATTAGTTGATGTCAACAGGATGACAAAATATAGCTTTTAAGGAGATTTCATCCAACCAACGAATGTAAAATTCACAGATATATGTGAATTATGCAAAGAAAACTGTATTTTAGTATTTTATTACATATGGGTTTTACATAGTGTTTTCTTTTTGCATTATATACTGATATGTCCATGTTGTAGATAAAGATGACAGCCAGTACAGGAGTGCAGGAGTCTTTGTAACAGTCCGCAGAGATAACTTCATAGACCAGAACACAGTCCAGCACTGCCATCAAGAGGTAAGAAACTGTATTTCACAATCAAAGAGCTCTGTTGACCACTAATTATGTATCAGGAATCATGACAGCATTGTGCTTTGTATCAGTCTGTAGAAGATGAGGAGCTAGATGTTCTCATTATTAAAGAGGAGAGACCTGACAACATGAGGTGTGAACAGTCAGAAAGAGAAACAGAGACTACTGAAAATCGTGAGTATAGTGTACACTGTAAAAAAAAAAATCCGTAAAAAAACGGCAGCCGTGGTTGCCGGAATTTTACCGTAAAAAATACGGTAGCAATGTTACGGTTTTAACTTAAATTTACAGTTAAATACCGTAATTTCATTAACTGATATAATGTTAATATACCAACATATTGAAGTACTGAAATCTGTTTTGTACCTTTGTAATACATAACCATTTAACAGGTTTTTACTGTAGCATTTTTACAGTCTTTTACCGTTAAATTCACGGTCATTTTTTACAGTTTACTGTATGTAATGTGTGTGTGTACAGTTTATTTTTCACTTATTTAGTTGTCCCAACATGGATGACAAAATTTGTGTAAGGTTTTACAAATTAATCCAGATAAGTAATTCGTAATATTACATATATTACTAATTATTTGATTACTAATTACATATCTGGTAATACATGGAGGAATAGTTTCATAAATTGTCAAATATACAACAAAATTATAGCATTAATAATAGTGTTATTTATTTATTTTATCTATTATTGTATTTTTTTTATTTTAACCTTCAATATTTTAGTAATGTTGTACCAACTGACTCATGTATATTTTACAGCATTAGTTGAGGGTTTTTTTGCTTGAAAATTTAGCATGTACTGTACCTGATATATATCCAAAATAATCGATATTGAATCTAATCGAATCGCAAGCTTGTGAATGAGAATTGAATCGAATCGTGAAATGTGTGTCAAAACCCAGCCCTACTTGCTTACCCTGTGTTATTTCTGCTCTTTGCTTTCTGGATAAGACGCACAGTATGGTGCAGGAGTTTTTGTAACAGTCCACAGAGATAACTTCATAGACCAGGACACGGTCCAGCACTGCCATCATGAGGTTAGCGTAAGAGAGACATTTGAACATACCAGTAATTGTTTACAAATCAGGCTCATGACAGACAAACTGCTTTTCTCCAGCAGTGACAATTTACATACTGTTTAAAGGGGTCATATGATGCTGCTAAAAAGAACATTATTTTGTGTATTTGGTGTAATGAAATGTGTTTATGCAGTTTAAAGTTCAAAAAACACATTATTTTCCACATACTGTACATTATTGTTTCTCCTCTATGCCCCGCCTTTTTGAAACGCACATACTACATAATTTGTTTCTGCTAAAATTGCTCTTAACGTGATTCGTTCCTCTGGCAGTCCAATGGAATGCGACCTGATCTACTTGAGGACGAAACCACATTTACTAAATAGTAACTAGAAAATTCTTGTTGTGAGTGACATAATTACTAAATGCAGTGTTTGCTCTTTTTTTTCTTGCTTACTAGTTTCCATTTAAGCATGTTGTATTTCAAAATAGGTGAAACGACTATGGAGAGATGTTGTGATGGAGACGCAGAGACTAACCTGCAGCCTGTCCCTTCCTTCCCCTCATGGGTTTCCAGGAGATTGGACGCAACCACAAATCATCCCTCCTATGCTGAATCTGAATGCAACGGAGGACCTTCTGTGAATCAGTACTTGATGTACAGAAGAAGTGCAGATCCCATGTGTTCCTATGCAACTCCAATGGACTCTAATGGCTTGTCTATGCCTGATATGGAAGGCCATTTAACACACAGCGATGAAGGTAACAACATTTCTCAATCCGAGCGGTCCCGTTTCACACCAAGCTTTTCTTTCAAACAGTCAGACTCTCCTCAGATGCAAAGGAAAGACAAGTTCATATGTAAACATTGTGGAAAAGCGTTCTCTCAACCCAGCACTTTCCTCTTGCATCAAAAACTTCATAACAGGGAGAGGCTTCACCACTGTACACTCTGCGGTAAGCGATTTAGTCAGGCGTCTAGTCTCAAAAGACACCATAGCATCCACAGAGGAGAAAAACCTTTCAGATGCGTGCACTGTGGCAAGCAGTTCGCAGATCAAAGTAACCTCAAAAAACATGTGACTGTTCACACAGGTGAAAAGCCTTATGGTTGCAACCTTTGTGGGAAAATGTTCAACCAGTCTTCAAACCTCAAAACACACATGAGGATCCACACACGTGAGAAGCCTTTTGGTTGTGATCGATGTGGGCGGATGTTTGCACACAAGTATATTTTGGTGAAACACCAACAGAGAATCTGTGTGTCTGCTGGACAATTCTAGACTTCACAAGGTAGAGAATACTCCCATTGGTACCTATCATTAATTTAATCAGCTTAATTTACATTGGAGTGGAAAATGCACTGGTGCACATTATTCCAAATAATAAATAAGAATCTTTTATCAAGTGCAATAATTGTTTTTTTTTTTTTTTTTTGGTTGTCAACATCTGCTTCTTCTTACAAACCACAACGTTCCATTCTGAAATGGACACTTTTGATGATCCAAACAATTCTTGATGGATAAAATAATTTATTTTCTCATCGGATATCCTGTTTCACTGAGAAATACATCAGATTTCTGAAGTAAACTGAGCTGCGATCAGCATTTCATGTTGATTCATTTTTCTTAGCTATGTTACAATGTACAGTAATTGAAAATAGTCTTTAACAAACAATTTAGATTATCTCAGAAATGATTATTGTATACATTTTAACTTAAAAGACTGCTAAATGCTGTTATGTAACATCAGTGACTTTAATGTTAATAAAGTCATGCACCTTCAAGCAAAGGATTTCTTATAATTGCATAGAAAATGACACATGGTTCTCAAAAAAAAACATTCGAGTGTAGGTTGCTTTGTTTGCATTAAAACTGCTGCTTAATTTCTAATTTAAAGTTGTCCATTTATGGTAAATAATGGTCTCTGAATTCCCAAATAGAAACAATGATTGGTTAAGGCTGGTTATAGATTAAATTCTTGTTTGAGTTTGCAATTATGTTCAACCCAAATGGCAGCATGAGAAATTTCATGATTATCTACATTAGTAACTGTATTCTTTAGCTTTAATAAAGTTATACCCATGTGTTTTTTATATTCAGCAAAACAATAGTACACAACCCATTAAGCAATATTGAATATGGTAGATTTAATATAATTGTCATGCATGTTAAAATTTATAAACAGAAAAACAGATTAATTTATAAATCGCAAGCAACTGCCTCTTTTCATAAAACCAGTCATTTTGATGTGTATAGTATAATATAGTATGCTGGGTACAGACTTTTGATTTTTAGGATTTAAAATCGTCAGAGTAATTTATAATACCATCACCATTTGTCTGTTCAAAAAATCTATTCAATCTGTTAATCTGATTCATATGTATTAAATCACCAAGTATTGATAAACTTTTATTAATCAATGCATCAATCAACTGCAAAAGTCAAATCACAGACTCTGCCTGTTTGGCAGGGGTGATAGAATGTTAGTATAAAGTCAACTAGAATAAAACAGTTCGATGGAAAAGCAAAATGGCTCCCACACTAACCCAAAAACTGATAGGTGGATAAAAAGGGCATCCAGCACTGTTAGTTGTGGCATTAGTGGCATTAGTTGTTTTTGCCATTACTGTTGTCGTAGCTATAGTTGTTGTTGTCGCTGTAGTCATGCTTTTTGTTGTAGAAGTGGTAGACATGGAGGTGGTAACAGCAGGTGTTACTGATCTTGAGCATATGCCAACATTTCCAGCTCTGTCTACAGCAACCAGTTCCATTATTTCAGAACAACAAGAGGCGCTGTAGAATGCAAGGGTGACGTTCACACCTCCATCCCTGATTATGGTGGTAGTGTTGAGGGTTCCAAGGCCCTGACGCAGAGTCACAGAGATGATACCCGTCCCATTTCCATCGGTTAGGTTGGCTGAGAGCTCCCATGAGGACAGGCTACAGTTGCCTGAGCAGTTAGCATTTACGCTAATAATCTCACAGACTGGAGAGGTGAAGTCCGTAATCTTATGGAGGGAAAATGATTTCATATTTTATTTATGTATTTATTATTTAATTAACTTAACTGTAATAAAAACTAACCAAGTATGTTGATATATAGATTTCCATGTTAAAAATATGTTTACGCACTACTGTTCAAAAGTTTGGGGTTGGTACGATTTTTTGAAAAATGTCTTATATGCTCACCAAGGCAGCATTTATTTGATCAAAATACAGTAAAAACTGTAATATTTTGAAATATTACAATTTAAAACATCTTTTCTATGTTTTAAAATGAAATTCATGTGATGCAAAGCTGAGTTTTCAGCATCATTACTCGGTCTTCAGTGTCACATGATCCTTCAGAAATCATTCTAATATTCTGATTTGCTACTCATACATTTCTTATGGTTAACAGTGTTGAAACAGCTGTGCTGCTTAACATTTTTGTGGAAATCTTGATACATTTGTTTTCAGGATTCTTTGATGAACGGAAATAGAAATCTTTGTAAGATTATAAAGGTCTTTGTGATTTCATCTTTGATTGATTTTAATGTGTCCTTGCTTAATAAAAATATCAGTTTCTTTCTTAAAAATCTTATTGACCCCAAACTTTCATGGATACATATTACATTTACATTTCCAGAAATAGATAGTTTAGATAGATAGTTACCGGAGAAACGACTGTAAGCTTAAGCACAGCATAGTTGAAATCACTTTTGCCTGATGTTTCGGCCTCAATGGTGAGAGTCACTTCAGTGCCTGAAGGAGTGTCTGAGGGTGCAGTGAGATTTATTGTGCTAGTTCCACTGCTTCCACTTCCAGCAGTCATGGTGCTGGGAAATACTGTGGCAAACCCACGGTCATTCCTAGCATTAATGTTGAAGAGCTCATCAGATCCATTGTACACCACTGTAAAAGGGATGCTCAATGTCTTCCCAGGCTCCCATACATCATCTGTCAAAGCCTAAGTGTATAAATAGTATGATAAATAGTTATAAGTTTGAGAAAGAATAGTATGCGTATGGAGTATTAGTCATATATTTTTATGACTAATGTTAGAAAGCCTGATCTTACAGTAATAATCACACTGGAAGTCCTGTGTTGAGTGATGGACTGTCTCTGAAAGCGACCATTTGATGAACGTAAAGAATTCCTCTCTCCCATCACACGGACAACAAATCCTCCTGCTGGGACCCTGTTCATTGTGACTAAGAAATCCCCATCTGCAACCTTTTCTAGGGTTCCAATAATAGTCTGGGATCCTGATGCTTCCACGAGAGCCACCTCTGTGGGGGTAACAGTGTCTCCACCCATGACGGTAAGCAGTAGTGTGATATTACTGTCTGTAGCAGAGAAAGAGCAATAGAGAGAGTGAAAATATAAGTTGTTGCACAAGTTTCTTATTGTTCATATTTGCTTTATGTTCACTCACTTGCTGGGGGTCTGCTGCTTAATTCACTGTAGCCTGAATGAGCACCTTCGCTTAGCTCCACAAAGTTGAACAGGAAGTCAATGTCACTTTGACCTGGTAATTCAATAAGTAAACAGCTCTTAAAGAGATATACTGCCTGGTCAAAAAAGATGCCATCTGGATTTATAAGCAAATACTTAAAGGGATAGTTCACCCAAAAATGAAAATGCTGTTATCATTTACTCACCCTCACGTCGTTCCAAACCTGTATGAGTTGCTTTCTTATGTTGAACACAAAAGAAGATATTTTGAAGATTGCTGGTAATCAAACAGTTGGTGGTTATTATTGACTTCCATAGTATTTTTTTTCCTACTATGGAAGTCAATGGCAACCACCAACTGTTTGATTCTGAGTAAATGATGACAGAATTTTCATTTTTAGGTGAACTATCCCTTTAAGATTTTAGGACTGAGTCACTTTTGCGGTTATTAATGTTTCTGGCATGTTGTATGTTTGGCAACCATTATTTTTTTAACCCTAACTGATGCAGTGTGTTGCTTTTTCTCAATCAACCAATCAATCATTAGGCCATTGTTTTAAAACATTTTGAAACATCACATTTATTTCCTTCAAGAGTTGCATAATTTTTTGGCTGAGGACTTGTATTGGCAATTTGAAAGTCAAACCACTCTGTAAAGTCGACTCTAGCACATCCTAAAGAATTTCAATAGGGTTAAGGTCATGACTGTGTGGTGACAAATTCATGTATGAAAATGGTTCCTCGTGCTCACTGAACCACTATTTCACAATTTGGGCCCAATGAACCTTCCAACATGGCTGTTTGAGAAATAAAAAGCTACACACTGCATCAGTTAGGATTAAAAGAATTGTTGCCAAACATACAACATGCCAGAAACATATTAATCACAATAATGATTCGATCCTAAAATCTTAAGTGTTCACTTGTTATCCAGACAGTGACAAATAATTAATTATAATAATGAAAAATTATTGATAAGCCTTTCTTCATTTGTTTACCCTCGTGTAATTCCGAACATGAAAGCCCAACGCTGGAACAAATGTGCCTCTACCTACAGTACAATTAATTTTTTTTTTTTTTTTTGCAAAACTCAAACAGGTTACACTGTGGGCCTATATAAAATATACTGTTGCTTCCAGCTGCAATCAACACTAGTGGCAGTAAAACCAATTTTATTGTATTAATTTTCACATAAATTATGATTACGGGGCATATTGCCGAATAATAAAGACTTTTTTTATGCACTTGCATAATATGTTCCTTGCACAATACCATGTTATGGCCTCAAAACACTTCTACTATAGTGGATGATTTATGAACTTATACATTTTAACATTTGCATCATATAACCAGTTCCATTCTGTATTTATGGCTTTTGTGATGTAGTAAACTTGCTTGTTAGCTCACCTGAAGATTGCTCTTGTGATGCAGAGTGCTTGGTTACAAGTTACTTGAAACACAAGTCATGATAAAAGAGCTAAAAGACTTGTAGAAGTAAGGTAAATGGAACGGTTGCTTCAGCAAATGCATCTTTATCTCACGTTTGCTTTTGTTAACACTCGGGTTAGGTTTAGTGGGTGGTAGGCCTACTTTTATTTTCAAACTTGATAGAGCATTAACCTTTTAGTGCTACTCACAGGACATTTCATTTCTGAACTGCCTAGATATGTACAACCAATGTAATAAAACGTTGCCTTTAGAACCACTTACTGGACTTTGAAAGTGTCACGAAACTTGCAGGAAGCAACAGTGTCAAAAAGAATAAACAAATGATGACAGAATTTTACTTTTTGGGTGAACTGCACTGTAAAAACCTCCTGTAGAAATTACAGTAACTTACTGTAAGCAGTTTAGAGTAAAAAATATTGTAATATTTACATTGCTAGTTACCTTGCTGTAAATGTATTTACAGTATTTTTTACTGTAAAATGTACAGTAATTTATATATACTGTACCTCTCCTTATTTACATTTGTAGAGAGAAAAAGGTTACCAAGGACTTTGATGGTGTAGGCCTGTAATGAGCTAATGTTAATGTTCCAAAGGCCCACTGGATCAAGGATAGACAGACGAACTGTGTAAAAGTTGCCCACATGCTCAACCAACCCCAGTTTTCCACTTAATTCTTCATTGGTCTGAGAATCCCCTGTGGAGGTAAATAATGCCATCAAAACTGATCATTGATAATAAATATGATAATTTATTTGCAATACCCGGCTCAGTATATGTCTACACACCTAATGGGCTTGTGATGTTGAATGCTAGAGAATTGCCTGTAATATAGATTGTCATATTTTTCATTGAGGAGTCCACAATGAAAGAGAAGGTTTCTGCTTTTCCTGGGTTCCTTACAGTTTGGAAAACAGTTACCTGAAGACACAGAGAAAATGTTGTATGCATATTGATTTTGGCTACTTGATATATCAATGAAACACAGTTTTAAAAACATATTCTTCACTGTTGTGGATGGTGAGGATTCTTATTCAACCATGTGCCTGAGAAAAACAACTACTCCACTGTGTGAAAGGTCTGAGATATTGATTTCATTACTAGAGCAGATGTGGAGGCATCCGCTATAATGTTGGTGGCTAGAGGAAGTGTTGCTTTGGTGACTTCAATCGCCAGTCCTCCAGAGGCCAGAGCTAAATCCACATAGACCTGATTTAAGGGATTGGAGATCCTGGTGGAGTAACGCTGATTCTGTCCTTGATTCGGATCATCGCTCCTTCTTCGGCGAGCAGCAAGACTATTAGTCAACATAAAGTTCACCTATAAAAAAGAAGAAAAGAAAATGTGATTTATTGACTTCCACGATTTAGCAACTCATCTATTTAGACCTACCAAATAATATCAAAAATAGACCACCAAATCATAACAAAAATAATATACAAATAAACATGCTGTGTAACCAATGAGCGACCAACACTCTTATGAAGACTTATTACGAGAGTGTTTTTTCTTTTTTCATGTAATATTATGCAAATATTTAGAAAAGCATACATAACTCAGTATCACATTTTTACAAAACACTTGCTGGCATGAGGGTTAAATGTATATAAAAAGCCTTAAAGCATCTTCAGGGTGTAAAGTGTCAAAATAGAAAAGGTGGTTTTGTTTTCAAGAAAGTCCAAAATGGGTTTTAGAATATTGAACATTACTTATACATATGAATATTAATTAGTGAGAGTATAGCATTGTTTCCAAAAAGACTCTTAATAGTTTGGTTCATATGCAGTAGAAATGCAGTAAAAAATAAAATGAAAAGAAGCACTATTTTTTTTTTTACTCAACATGGATATCAGTACTCATAGATAGGTGATGGTGTCAGGCAATTATAAGTTCATATTCTTTCGAGATGCAGGAATTCAGCTTGTTTAATTGGCGAAATTAAAGCTATGGCCATAATAGATTCAGAATAGATTCTGTCCATAATATTATAAGAAGATTTTAATACATACCACGGACTTTGTGCTTTCAATCAGTGCCAACACAGTGTTTTTTAACTCTTTGTCCTTTGCATCAGCATCCGTGAAAACAAATATCTTAGTCTGGGGAGGTGAACCAGTCAGAGCCAGCTGGGAGGGGAAAAAAAGAAAGAAATAGTTTGAAGTCTGTTGATTAGAATACAAAATGTATTTTAAAAACTAATATTTATATATTATATATATTTTGTGTAAATGTTTACAAATACACCATAATTAAAGCAAAAAAAAGAAAGATAATTCAAATGCATACCGTGAGTCCTGAGAGGCTGAGCTCTGGTGTGTCTCCTCCATCATGTGGTTGAAGGGCATGAATTTGTAATTTGAACTCATCCGGATCTGTTGTTCTTATTAGTGGTCCAAAGTCTTTGGGAGTGGAAAAGGGTCAGTTATCAGATAATAAGGTCATGTTCCCACACATAATTACGAGTTGTATATATTCTTGAGTTGAGATTTTGCAGCAATTCAGAGTTCAGTCATTTCTTCAGAGGTACACACATATTCTATGTGAAATTAAATCAAGTAAAAAAACGTCTCTTACCAGGATCATTAAATGGCACCAGAATGTACTCTGATACAGTGTCTCTCATCTTGTCGGTGATTTCAGAAGTGACTCGTCGTACTTCATCAATGTCATCTCCCATGCTGCCTGTGGTATCAATTGCAAAGCACAGTACTGAATTCTGAGAGAATCCCATCAATCTAAAGGAGAAAGACCGAAACGAGGAAAGAAATATTCACGATTGCTTGAAAAGGTTGCATTTACATGTAAAGCCCTACAATAATTTCATTTAAAGACCTACAGTCGAAAGGAATCTATTTTTCAACTAATTCTATATTAATTTTAATTGCTGGTGCATGCATATGACTTTTTTTTTGCTACATTTACACTTGGCATTGAAATGCAACCTCTATCCAGATGTTGTCCACATATGAAAAGACAAGTGTAAACATACAGTCATCGGAATGTATTCAGATCTGCTTTTCCTGTATTGTGACCTCTACAACTGATGCAGTCAATCACGTTAGTTCAGTGCTGACTTAATGATTTCAATCTCCCAAAAAGTCCCATTAACAGTCAGTGAAACTGTCAAGACTACACAATGAATTTCATATTTACACTAAGTCCACAATTTATTGTTATTAAGAACATTAGCAAGAGTACAGAACTCGGTGTCGCACACTGAATATGATTGGCATTGTGTTTGTGCACTCAAACAAACATGTCTGTGATTGATAACAATACTCAGTACTGAGAAAAAAATACATTGTAAATTCAGTTGTTCATGACTGGACCTAAATCTAGGTAATCAATATTTTTACAGCCATAATTATATTTATTATGAATTGTGTATGCCTGATTTAAATATTCCCTGGGGAAAAGAGATCAGATTATCGGGATGCATAATTTATATATGTGGACAAATGTAAATGTGCTGTGTTCTGATCTGGTGATGATGCAGTCTGGCATGTTAATGCCAACTGAAATAAAGGCATTTGTCTGACAGCACCATGAGTGCTGTATTATTAAGTCACTATGTAAGCCTGAATTTCTCTGATGGTTCTTCTTGTGGAATTTACTTAGGTCTATCATTCGGGGGCACATTTAATTAACTGATCATGCCACCTGATTAAAAAGCAGATGTAATGATTCATTCAAACATAGTATGGAAAAAAAATGATTAAACCTACCTCAAAAAGTTAGAGTCTCCCAAATAACCTCTAATGTCTTCTAAGAGTTCTCTGGTCGCAGCGATGGCCACTGTCGCAGCATTGTCATGAAGGTAACCATGCTCAGATGATCGTGTATCTTTATTGATTCCACCTTTGGGTGTAAACTGACTTGAAATGTCAAATAAACCTCCGTGGCTACATTTTCCTGTAATATTCAATATGTATTGATTAGTGTAAACTGTATTGATTGATTGATTGATTGATTGATTGATTGTTAGGATATCAAGATTTCAGTACCAGGTCGTTTGAAGAATCCAAAGTATCCTGATGTCAGTATTTTCTCTTGCATGATGTCTTCCAATATATTCTTGCTACAGTTACCTCCATCACAGTTTCTACAAGTGGGTCTTGTAGGTTCTTTAAATATAGAAATCCAACAAGAGTTCTGAACTAATATTTTTTGCACAACATATGAATTTTGCTTAGATTCTAGATGTGGGGCATTTTGAAGTTAGTTTGATTCAATAATTTGATTTAGTTTAGTGTTCAATGAACGTGTGTACTTGTGAGTTCATTTCGACGATTAATGAAAAGCCACTAAAAAGTGAATTTTTAAAAACATTTTGTTCATGGCTCAGACATCACTTGTCAATTAACCATACAGTATAGTGTCAGTAGTGGCTTAAAAACAGTGTATTAATGATTTGCAACAAGCACAAAAACTGTTGAATACATGAAATGCATAGAACAGAAAGAGATATAATACCACTTTATAATTGTTTGCCATACCTGCAATGTTGTCTATTTTGCTATCAGGTTTGATCAGGTTGGAGTATGGGAATAGGTTCCCCAGTTCTATCCAGTTGCTGTGACTGTAGAAATCCTTTAAAGACATACAAAGAAGCAAATGAAGCAAATGGTTTTGATTACACATTTCACACACTCTGAGAATAGAAAGAAAGTCATACAGCTTTGGAATGACATGAGGGTGATTACATTATGGCATAATTATCATTTTTGGTTGAACTATCCCTTTAATCAATCAATTTGTATCGTCTTTGGGTTTGTGGGCTCTGCTAAATCAGTTAACCCTGGGCTGTCCAAACTCGGTCCTGGAGGGCCGGTGTCCTGCAGAGTTTAGCTCCAACCCTAATTAAACGCACCTGAACCAGCTAATCAAGCTCTTACTAGGCATAGAAACTTCCAGTCAGGTG